TTTTTTTTTACTCAAATTCTTTGCAATTCCGATGTAAATTTGTTCTCTTTAGATGGAGATTGAACGGGTAGAAAGATAATCACTTTGGTCGAATGAATATCGCGCGCGATTTGTAGCCTGTGCATGCTGGTTTGTCCCGTCTGATTAGCAGCGTACTTATTCTACTTAAACAGTGTTCTAATTATTTCGCGTCTTCTGAGAGAAAATTCTTTTTCCATCTTTTCTTTATATAACTTACTTTCTTTCAAGTTTGTAACTATACCACAGCTCCAACTATAATTCAGTACGTATAGTTAAATAATTAAATAATAATTAACACTATTAAATAATTTAATAATTATCAATGTCATTATTCCAGAAGTACGAAGCTTAGAAAGTCGTGTGTAAATTACTGACTTCGAGGAAATATTTAGCAATTAATATTTCGCAGACATCAGAAACAGAGAAATCAAATATTCGTTTCAATTTTATACACTGAATTAAATTAAATATAAAAAAAAAAAAAAAACGAATGTTAATACAATAAAGTTCCATTCGCAGATACTGTTTACGAGACAATCAAACTTAAATGTAACATAAATTGAACCGACAGGCGATTGTGTTGAAGTCATGTGCAGGGAAGTGCGTCGCGTCGTCAAATCGATTGCGAGCCATTTTCGCGTAATCGAGGCGCGGCGGTCTGTCGGTGCGACAATTTCGTCATTCAGCGTCGGCGAGATGCCGGCTAAATTAGCGGTGCAATTTCAGCAACGTGAACGATACGTCAAACGCGAACTCGTCACGTTGTAAAAGCTCGCCGCCGCGTTGTTACGCCGGCTAACCAAAATTCTCCTCGTGATACGACCTCGATGGCAAATAAACGCTAGCGTCAATTGCCAGGCGGTTGTTCCTCGGAAGAGGAACGTTCAGCAAAGTAGAATTGGACGGAACTTACAGCTACATTTTCGAGCAAAGATAAGGAAAATATTAAAAATAAATTTGGATTCAATAATTTGCTTAAAATTGATTACAAAATGCATTTTCGTAGGATTTCGATGGATCCAAGATCAGTAGAAAAACGAAGATATTATATTTTAAAGAATAGAAATATTTCTATTCTTCATGGAATTTTAATAAATCCGAATCATTATGAATAGGAAGATGTTATACTTTAAAGAACAGAAATAGCTCTGTTCCTCGTAGAATTTTAATACATCCGAGTCAGGAGAAAGATATATCAAAGAATAGAAGTATTTCCTTCATAGAATTTTAATAAATCTGAATCCATTAGAAAAAGGAGGATATTATATTTTAAAGTACATGAATATTTTCTTCTGAATTAAAGATATGTATCGTAGAATTACGATTCCTCCCCCTAAAAATTAAATTTAACTTTCGATTGTAGTTCGGACAATTTTCAGTGAATTTACAAGAATTTTATTTTTCGGCGGAATAAAACCGTTTTTCACGTTGCTCGTTTTTGTTTTCCCGCGCAAGTTTCTCCTCCAAAGGTCGTGGAAAACATTGGTCGCGCGTATGCAAAGAAACAAGGGAACTTTCGCTGCGGGTACACTCCGATACCGCCTATTTCTACTACAACTTTTCCGTGTCTCGAACTTCCTTCCCTTACTCCAAGTTTTTCCCCTGAGTTTCGTTTCGAGGACACTTTCGTTTTGCAGCTCGCTTACGTGTGCGTAATGCGTGTTTAAGGTATGATCTCGCGGAACGTTTCAGCGTATT